TCTGTAATCAATTATTTAAACAGAAAGTTAATTTTGCGACTATAAATACGATGTCTGCAAACGTTACAGGTTTGTATCTCGCTTGATATTCACTAACATATTCAGTGGTTGAACACCTGATGATTACTATTTGAAAATATTACTTTCTACGCAGGTATATATGTTTCATGCCTCCAGAAAAGCCTTGGTTTCAATTTCATGTTTATATGCATTTTGGTAAACGAATGTATATTCATAAGCCTTTCTATGTGTAATATACAAATATATATATTTTTATGGTAAGGACTTATGATTTTAGATTAAGGCCACTGAGTTAATGTTAATATATATGAACTTGGCGTATATGCGAATGTACACGTATAAACTTTACACATACGGTGGAAACCGCTTATTATAATGGCCTTGGGACAATGACCAACTGATAACATTAATTGAAAGATATAAAAAATAGGGAAAATTTGAATTCATTATTATAAATTTACTTTTAAAATGAATTTTACATAATAATCGCTCAATAACATTCTTCGCAAATAAGCGGTAGCTCTTGTATTTACATACAGGAAGCATTTTCTCTCTCTTTCTCACTCTCTCCCTCTTTCCCTGTTTTACAGTCTCTCTCTTTCTCACTCTGTCTCTTTCTCATCTCTCTCTCTCTCTCTTTCTCACGCTGTCTCTCTCTTTCTTTCTCTAACGCACACGCATACACATACATGAGTGGATTTGTAGAAAGATCGTACTGATATTTATAGAAATTCATATATATAAGTGTTGTGTCCGCCTGTATAAAGGTATGTGCTTACACAATTTTGATGTATGTAGACTAGCATGTATGCATAATTGTGTGTATGTGTGTGTGTGTGTGTATACTGTACCGGATATTGGAATGTGGGCTGTACAGTGAGTATTTTAATGGCAAACCATTAAAAAAGTTACCTTTCTTGTATAAAAAAATACGTGTCACAGTGGACAGAAATTTTTCTTTAAAACCCCTATAAAGATGGCGCTACATTCAATATTTCGTGTTTGAATAAAATCATCATCATATATATATATATATATATATACGAAAAGATTACTTAAATTTTAAATATCAATTTTATCCCGACTTCGAAGTTTCTTGGTAAAATTTCCAGTCTTCAGGGGTTGTGGTTTTAAACGGTATTTCCAATATCTTTAATATAAATTTTATATCTTTAATATTGTTCATTATATATAAAAATATATTCTGTTTATTAAAATACATATATATATATATATATATATATATATATATATATATATATATATATATATGATCACAGCATAGCATAGCTTATCACCCACAAAATATGCATAATGGCAGCTAACAGCAACAGGTGACTATATCGGAGATATATAATTGTATTAATCAGAACAACCTCGGGTTTTCAAGGTTTTGTTTTGAAAAACATAAAAACATACACAATAAAGCAACTCATTATAAATTTAAAATCAAATTTCATCACATTTTGTCACTTTTCTTTCTTTTTTTGCTAAATGAAAATATGACAATAATTAAATTTTAAATGGATTGCAAATATTAAAGATAGGTTTTTAAAACACAATGACAACATTAAATAAATTAAATATTGATAAATAGATAAATAAAAATTCATTTGTATGTTCAGGCAAACTTGCCGATTTTTGGTAAATTTTAATAATCGTGTTTCGGCTACTATGTTCTCTCTTCATCTTTTGATATGGATATGCCCTTTCATCCATATCTCCTCACACCCATATATATATATATATATATATATATATATGAATAAAAAAGAGACAAGAGGAAAAACTATTCGTTTCGTCCGCTGAGGGACTTTATCAAAGCAATTTATCAAGCAATCGTCAGCTAAGAATACTTTTTCCCTCTTGTCACTTTTTATTATTTTTGCTCATTTACAGATACCTTCTGTTTGAAAATAATTCATACACTATATATATATATATATATATATATATATATATATATATATATATATATATATATATATATATAATGTGTGTTTGTGTGTGTGTATAGGTGGATACACCGGAGAGTGACAATCTGTTTCATGCTTGAAATCAACCTTCAGGCCCGATGTCTGTTTTATGCTTGAACAGAATCTTGTCCATCTCGGGCCTAAAGATTGCGTTCACGCCTGAAACAGACAGTCGCCATTCTGTATTGACCTCAGTGGCCACTTTTATATTTACACACGATTTTGGTCAATTTTTGCACATAAATATAGCATACCCCAAAACTATATATATATATATATATATATATATATATAATTTATTCGAAAATTATGACGTAAATATGTTATAAAATCACTACAAAAATAGCCATTTTGTTTCAACACGTCTGGTGTCTTATCAAGTGATGGCGTTGAATGTAGAATGTTGTGCATGTCTGTATGCATTTATGAATTTTGGGTTAGTATTTCCATCATCTTATTGCTGTGGCATTTTATAGCAACTTCTAAATCACCAGTCTACTAAACAGCGCGGATGAGAAATAGCGAATAAGCCTATCTTTCGTATATGATTCTTGTCGCTTATTTACCAGTCGTAGTTTGGCAATCTGGTCATTGTAATAAAATGCAACAGAATTCAGATGAATGAAATACTTTTCAAAACACTATTATATATACGACTTGTTTTATCTATACGGATGAATTTATAGTTTGATATATATTTAAATACCAAAACTATTAATTCGTACCGAAAGGGATTTTGTCAGGGATATACTCTTGAGTTTTCGAATGTGGTGTTATTAAACATTTTGATATTTTATTTCATTTGTGCTCTTTGTAGATTACAAGTAAAATATTGATTTTTTTTTTTAAAGGCAATATTAAGATATTAAGTAATTCTTTAACAACTACACACTAGGGTAACTTAAAACATTCATACACACATAATATGTATGTTCTAACAATGAGCCCTACATTGCGAGAGTCAGGACCGTTTCTTTCGCTCTGTTGAACAACGTAGTCATTTCTCTGGCTAAGAGATTTGTATATGTCAGAAAATTGCATTGTCGCAGTTAAAGCAGTTTGATAGACTTAAGCTCAATTGTTTATTTTATAAACGACATAAAATATCATTTGGAATATTTATTAAATTTTCAAGATTTACGATTAAAAATGTTAGCATGCTTACTTCCCTTTACACATTGCTTATTTCCCTTTACTACAAGTCTGTGATCGAAATGCTAAGTTAGTTACCACTTGTAAGACAGAAAATTGAATTATTTGATTTACTAAGGAATTTAATTACAAATGTCTTCAACAAAATAACCATTTATTTATAAAGAACGCAAAAAACAGATTGGGAATTTTATTTTTTAGATTTATTCTTTAAAAGCTGAATATGCAAATTAGAAGAAGAACCACTAAATTGAATAATGTATAAAAACAAGATTGTTAGATATAATTGATAAAAGAGAACTTGCTATATCTAAAGTTTTACGCAATATTTGCACACACACATACAACCAACTTTATATATTTAACTAACTTTTGGGGATTTCAGCCGCCAGACACACAAATTTGAATTTACACACACACACACACACACACACACACACACACACACACACACACACACATATATATATATATATATATATATATATATATATATATGAATGAATGAATAATAAAAATATTTTTATCTCATATGAGGAATAGACTATTTCGGCAGATGATGAAAGTTCTCGTTACCTTATATATTTTTAAAAATTATTTTTAAATCAATTTTTACTTTTAATTTTAGATTTATACTCTCTTATTTCCAATGCCTCCAATTTGCATTCATTGGGTTAATAATCTCTGACATATTTAATACATCTTCTCCCCTTTAAGACAGATATGTACCATCTGCCTTGACCCCTGTCTGATGCTTATCGTTTGATTTAATCATTGAAAAGTGTGAACACTATATTAGGTATATTCTGCAAGTTAGATATTAGGTTGACACTTTAGTTTCTAATATCACCTCCTTACAGTTCAACTCCAACTTTTCTCTACGGACATGAACTTCATTCCACATCGGGTTTGAAAAGTCAGACGGCTGAAATTTTTTGATTATTCATTCATATTGCTGTGCATATATAAAATACACTGAGTTCTCTTTTGTGGATCATATATATATATATATATATATATATATATATATATATATATATACACACATATATATATATATATATATATTATATATTGAAAAGTTCTCAACCTGGACAAGAAGAATGGATCCCAAAATGGCCGGGTATTCCCTCATATATAGACGGTACGTATAAAATGTCCGAGTAGCCCTTCATATATATATATATATATATATATATATATATATATATATAAATAAATTTCCCAATGGTATTAGCACTTACGTGCTAATACCATTGGGAAAGGTATGAATCCTCGTCTTCTCCCCCCCAGCTATGGGTAAATAGCAGGACAGACCGGCTTCTATAGCTTTGGCCTACCGCAGAAAGAAATGGCAACCTACTGAGGGAAAACATCTTCTTCGTCAATCATGTATCGAAAGATACATGATTGCCTAAGCGTGTATCACGCATGGCACATAACTGACTGATATATATATATATATATATATAAGTCAGTTATGTGTGTGTGCGTGTGTGTGTGATAGGACAGTGTGAAGCTTCTGAAGAGAGAACATATCAGTCGAAACGTGTTGACAAAACAAGTGTCGTATAGTCCAACAAATGGTCATCATAGTAACAAATTCAATTAACAATAAATAACAAAACAATCGAAACATTTAATCAGTAAAAACAAATAGAAAAAAAAAGGGATTCATTCTTCATCACATCTTTCATCTTTTCACCTTTCTCTCTTTTTTTAAATTTTTTTTTTTATTTTTATGTATATTAATCAAAGGATATCCCCATTCAATGATGATTTTTGCATACTTGCGAATGAAGTTTTCTTCGCTGAAGATGAATAAGGAGCGGTTTGTAGAGGATCCCATACCCGGCAGGCTTACTGTGGCAGCCTTTTTAGCCACAAATTGAAGAGAGCCATCATGTGTATAATCACCGTCGTCCCGACCTCCGGTGTCAGCCGAGAAGGTATTCATCCTGGTAACAAAGTAAACAATCCAAGAAAACACAAAGATTAGATGTGTTTAAGTATCAAGGGGTCTCCTCTGACCGTCTGGTGTAGCTATAAACATAGGCACGACAACAAAGCGAGGTAGCCGAAGCAGCTAGCAGCATCGTCGATGTTTATTTTATTGTTATAGTAATTTTTATATTTTGACAGAAACCAAAAAAAGGATTCTCCTTTTTGTGGCTGGTTTGATTGATAATTGTAATTTTTTAAAAATGGTTATTTATTTATTTATTTTTTTTTAAATTCAACAACGACATTGCAGTATTTTTTTTTCTTTCCTTATTTTCCTTTTTTTTTTTTTAAAGAATCCTAGTTTGTTTTTCGTGGGGTTATTTTTTTTTCTTTGTTTAATTTTTTTTTTTTCAAAATATCGAGTTGGCAATTTTGGTTTTAGATTTAATTTCCTAGAAGGAAAGTATGAAAAGAAATCGACTTTGGCCCCAACAGTGACCACACACCTCACTGCGATAACGGTCGTCTCTGTTACCGACATCTATTGAATGAATAGCAATCATATCGCTTCAAATGAGGGGATGAAGTTGACTATTAAAAACAAAAGCGATTAAAAAAAAACAAAAAATGTTGGGAGATGGATGCTGTAGAGATTAATCACGAAATAAATCTTATGAAATCAATGATTCCAGATTTTTAAATACAGAACGCGCGTGTGTGTGTGTGTTTTTTGTTTTTTGTTTTTTTTTCGGGTTCTTGCGTTTTAAAAGTCGAAGTCGCGAAAACCTATTTTCTGCGTGCGACAGGTCGAGGCCAGGAGGGGACAGACGAGAGTATCAAAGATGTGGGATGGGGAATTGAAATCTGACAGGGAAAACAAGTATGAGGACTTGGGAGATAGACACAACCTGTAGGAATTTTAAAAGAAGACTGAAAAGAGGGGGAAATGAAAGGAAACAAACAATCAGATCTAGCTTGAGGAGATACCAAAAGTAAGAATCCTACAGGAAGGAAAAATAAACGAGTAAAAGACAAACTCTACAAATTCTAGAAACCAAAACAGTTAATAATGCTTGTATCTACTTAAGAACTATGGATGTTAAGTGGGGTTATAAAAATACTCCATCAGTAAGTGAATAATACCATCTGTTCTTACGGATGCGTACATGTGAATACATGTGTATGTCTATGCGTATGTGTATGTATGGGTGTTTGTTTAGGCGTGTGTATTTGTTGGACGAAGAAAATGATTTTTCGTTTTCGAATGTCTTATGCGAGTTTTCTTTAAATTTAAGCCCAAACAAAAAGAGTTTTGAAAAAGTATTTGTAACTAAAAGCGAAAAAAAAAAAAAAAAAATAAAATAAAATAAAATAAACACACACACACACTCCTTGAATGAGTTATTTCTTTGCACCTTTATTATTTTTTTTTGTCTTTTTTACAGGTATTTGCTTTCTTTTGTTTTGTTCTTTTTTGTTTTCTGTTTTTTTTTTGTTTTTTTTTACGAAACCAAGAGAGAGAGAGAGCTTTTTTTTTTTTTTTGCTTATACGAGACTCAACGAGAAAGAGATATAGATGGATAGGGAGGGAGAACGCGATTGTGGATTGTGAAATATACGGGTTAAGAAGAAAAAAGGCAGAGAAAAAAATGATATATCTCTTACCGATTTTCTAAGAAAAAAAAAAGAACACGTATTAACAGGTTGTCCACATCGTTCTTCCAGCTCCCTCTGTGGAATGGTAAGCGTTAAACATACATATTAGCTGGTGGAATAAAACTGAAATATTCTTCCGTACATTGTCCGACCTGAAGTACATGCTATACCATCTAATATTAATGTATGTTTGGCCTTTCGAGACGAAGACATCGAATTCAGTCTCTGGTCGACCAATAGAAAACCACGGGCGCGTACATTATTGGAAGATGTGAAAAATTTAAACGATTGCTGACGTCAGGTAATGTATAGCGCCTGGTGTAGGATGGTGCAGCATAATGCTACAAGAGAGAGAAAAGAAGAGAGAGGTACTTTCACGAAGAAGGGATGGCAAGAGGAGAGAAAAAGAAGAAAAAGGGAAGGAAGAGCAATCATAGAAAATGTAGTCAGAGGTGCTAAGTGGAGAGCAAGGAGCAAAGTAAGAGTTAAAATGAACAGAAGGCAGGAGGAGTGAAAAAGGGAGAGTAAGGAGAATGAGAATGGGATGCAGTGGAACGGAGAGCTATGGATAGATAAAGGAATGAAGTCAACAGACTTATGTTGGAAAAAAAAAACAACGAAATGAACAGACTGATACAGCGAGTATATGAGCAGAAACCCAGTTTTTGGCACATCGATTCATATGTGGTCTATCTAGTGATAACGTTAATTTTCTTCTTCGATTATAAAAATTTATAGCGATAATGATAATGGTGTTTGTGGGAAATGTCATTTTATTGCGAACACGACCATCCTTTTGTCAAGAGTTGGAACTTGTTATTCGAAGAAGCAACGTATTTTTCTTGCATTCTAACGCTTTTGCGGGAAATGTATGCGGGTGTGATTGAGTGTGAGTGTGTGTGTGTGAGTGTGTGTGTGTGTGTGTACGCGTGTGAGTATGTATGCAAGTTATAATTTTAACTGAAGTGAGCATCCATTTGGAAAAAAGGAAAAAATCAGTGACAGACGGAAGAAAGGATAAAAAAGAAAATACAGACGGCGAGGAAAACATTCGATGGATAGATAACTTGAACACGCATATATATATATATATATACACAGTTAAGTAGATAGATAATTTGAGTGATGGGTAGACAGACGCACGGATAGACAGATAGATAGATAGATAAAAATGAACAGATATGAGATAGCTAGCTAACTAGATAATGAAAGCAATGAGATAGATGCATAGACAGTGAACGCAATGAGATCGATAATGAACAGAATGATATATATATATATATATATATATATATATATATATATAGATAGATAGATAGATAATGAAAGGAGATAGATAATGAATGCAATGAGATAGATAATGAACAGAATATATATATATATATATATATATATATATATATATATATATAGATAGATAGATAGATAATGAACGGAGATAGATAGATAATGAATGCAATAAGATAGATAATGAACAGAATTATATATAATGAACGCAGTGAGATAGATAATGAACAGAATTATATATATATATATATATATATATATATATATAAAATATATATATATATATATATATATATATGTGTGTGTATATATATATATATATATATATATAGAGAGAGAGAGAGAGAGAAATAGAGAAAGAGATAGATAATGATCAGAATGATAGATAGATAGATAGATAGATAGATAGATAGATAGATAGATAGATAGATAGATAGATAGAAAAGAGTGGGGGAAGAGCTGATATAGAATATCGTAGATTATAGCAGATTTCACGAAAAGTAACACGTATGTTTATAGATACGTGACTATCGACTAATTGTTTTCTATTTTCCTATCTACTTCAGAAAGGCCGTTCATTACTTTTTTAAGAATATAATTTTGTTTATATATAAAGTAAGTGTATGATTTCGAACTCAGAAACACTTACAACAAACGTCTGGGAACGTTGCACAAACCTGTTCACTTTCGCTTTCATAAAATAATTGATGTTGTTACTACTACTACTACTACTGCTGCTGTTACTACTAATATGTTAGGAGTGGCTCATTCGGTTATGATGTTGACACAGTAGCCAGGATATTCGACTTTAGCTACAGAGTGTTTACAAAGACGTTTCATTGAATATATAACAATCGAACGTAAATTTGCATTTGCATAATTCCTCGAAAATAACCAGCAAGAATTCACCATCAGGTCGTATAATTAGAAGCAATGGCTTATAATGGCAATAATGCTGGCATTGTGACGAGCTGGTACGGGATCGATCACAGTTAAATCTTGTCTGGTTACTAATGAACAATGTCTGAATTATGATTTTTTCATAAATGGTTCAGGTTTTGTTTTTAAGTCATTTGTGATATTGTAAATCTACAGATCGAGTTGTATAGCAGCAAATTTTCAATACCTGTTGCTGTAAGCTTTGATGTGTATAACATCAGACCAGGTGCAACAAATCAATACATCAATCAGCCAATAAGTTGTTTGTGTGTATGCATACTTAGGTATAAGTACAAGAGCAAACAAAAGTCTATATAATAAAAGACGAGCTGATTTTCTGTCCGTCATACAGTGTCCGCTTGTGACTTTGTGTCCGGTTCACACTACTCCCCAGACCTTTGAACAGGAGTAGAGGTTTATCCTTTGTTTCCTGTTTAGGATTGGGTTTCCGGTTCCTTCTAAAGTAGATACTACTAAAAAAAGAGCATACAATGATGTAAAAAAGGCCCCAAACTTGATAAAAACAAAGTTTTATCGTCGAAATGTTTATGTTATTATTAAGAGCAAAGCCTAAATTATCTTTTTTTGTTATTTTATTAAATGTTTTAATCTTTACTACTGATGTTCGAAATTTTGTTTAAAAATCTTGGACCAAAGATTAGTATGGGAATTTCAAAGAAGAGATTGTAGATGTATATCATTCTCTCTCGCTCTGAAAGCTAGTTTTTAGAAAGTGCTCTACTCAAGCACTTAATCACCCAGTCATTTTGCTGTCAATCGTCTTGACAAGCCCTCTCGATATCTAGCATTGAATAATAGCGTGGAATGAAGGAAGCTCATGCCTGAATGTGTGTATTTTTTAATACTAAACCCAATATATTAGCCTTGTTGAGCCGAGAGCTACTTAATGCAGAGGTTACTATTAAGATAGTTACAATGAATAAAGTGTATGATATGAATGAAGAAGTGTTACGAAATGAAGATTATGAGGATAAGGAAGATAGATAACGATTAAACGCTGATTTGAAGGGATTACGATTCTAGTGTTTCGGAAAAAAGCTGTATGAGTGGCAGATCTAAGAAGAAAAAAGCTATTTGAATAAGACTTCATTGGAAATACGGGGAAAATAAGGATGATTCGACTCCATGGAAGCTGCATAGTTTGGTTTGGTTTGGTTTGGTTTGTTTTACGGTATATCAACCTCAATCGGTTATTTAATGCCAACAATTTTTGTTACTGGAATTTTTTTTTTCAAAAATGTATTTCTGGTAATATTTTTTCTTCAAAAATGTACTGCTAGTAATTTTTTTTTTCAAAAATATATAGCTAGTAATATTGTTTTAAGTGTATTGCTGGTAATAAATTTATTGCTGGTAATATTTTTTTTTCAAAAATTTATTGCTGGTAAGATTTTTTTACAAAGCATTTCTGATATTAAAACCTATTTTTACACTTTCATAGTGTTTTGACCCCAGTTTGGGGGTTAACTATTTGCGCATAGCTGGGACCTAACAGGTGCTATGACCCCGGCTGACGGTGGGCCTGGAAACATCAGCAATTAAGAGGTGGTTCCAAGTTTCTCAAAACTCCCGGATCAGATACTTTGCTGATGGACGTAGTTTATCGTCATTCACAAGAGAGGGAAGCAGCATATGTTTGTACATTTGATATATCGATATTTCTATTGAGATTTATGTGAATATTTATATATTTTATGCATAAATTTATATTTACTGTTGAAAATATTTCGAAGTTGCGACATTGTATGACATTTATTTATGATATTCCTTTTATAGGCTTATGATATCTCAGAAAACAATTTTGACTGAAGTATGCGTAATTGTTTCTATTAAGTATTCGAGGTGGTTGCTATTCGAGTGAATAGTTATTTGTAAATCCTTTCTTGGCTTTACTTTATTTGAAAACATGCCCTAGTATCGAGTCGTTACAAACGCGTGCAAAATATACCTAAATTTTTGCCCTAAATTTTTAAAAAGGTGATGACAAAGAGGATAGTTCTCATTGTCATGCTATAATTGTCAACAAATAAGGAACTAATTTATGTCTGGTCGCTTTTCGATCGCTGTTGCCACAATATAATCCAGTACTACCTGCTATATGGTAGGGTCGTCGCAGACTAAATCGGTTTCCTCTCCAAGCTTTTCTGGTGGTGAGGGTGGCTAGAAACCCAGTAGGTTAACCCCCCCCAAAAAAAAAAACAAGACCTGCCAAACGGTGGATGAATCTTCGAGAGACAACGACCTTCTAGCACAATGAGATAGACTGGACTCCATAGCTATGTAGACAGCCAGTGAGGTGATGACACAGCATTGCCTTGGGGAGGGGGTTCTTAAACTGAAGTTAACGGCCGAGGAGGAGTGTCCCCCCCACCAACTGATGGAAATTAACGACCACATGTCGGTGACCAAATCGAGCCTTCAAGATGAAGGACATCGATTGTGATTTGATTTGGAGAGGGATGAACAGGTCTACTTGCCTAAGACACACTTATCTCCGGATTTCAACCCAGATAGGGGGCGGAACTGGTCAGATGCTCAGTTTCCCGGTAACCCTAAACTACAACTGGTCATGAAAATGATAATGATGATGATGATGTAAATGCTGGTAATGTTAATCGTGAGTTTAACCGTTTCTACACGGGAAACTTTGGGTATTCATTGACCAAAGTTGATTTCTTTCTTAAAACTATTTTTTTCAGGAATCTAAACTTCTCAAGATCACTAACTGTTATCACTCTTTCAAGTACTGATGGGAATTTCCATCCTAACTTTTATTTTTTGGAAGTTTAGAAAGTCAGCATCATCATTGTATCACTTCGAGTTACATGTGTTACCCATTTTGATTGTTGCTGTAGATGGAAGTCTTCAATTGATGTGGGTTTTAGTTATTTTTTAAAGTTCTTTGTTTGTGATTGTGCAACGCCATTTTATAGGATGTGATGAAGGATTGCTTTCTTTACGACCTAAAGCCATTTAAAATCACTGATTTGAGAAAACAGTTTCGTAAGGGTGATAGTTTAAACATTTCTGAACGATTTGGACGCCATACATAACAGCCATATTGGGATCGAGATATGACGAGATCATTTGAAAACACGACGTGTTCTCAGCTTAATATTTTGGTTTTTGTTGCATCTTGAACAAGATCTTGAAAAAAAAATGTGGAATCTTAAAACTACTGTTACACCTATAATCATTTTTAGACCTTGAGTAAAGACAAAAAGGTAGACATGAACGTTAACAAAATCGCTGAGAGTCCATGTTTATGAGACTACTAAAAAGACTGGGCCGTATGGAATTGCTCATCTACTTAGAAGAGTATTATCATTGTAAAATGAACTGTATAAAAAGCGTGTTTATAAATGGTTATTTTCTAAGCGTAGCTTAGATGTGGCACAAGGACGAAAGTATGAATCGAACTCACTTTTCAGTCGTAACAGATCTAGCGAGACACGCTTGCTAAGCGTTACACCACGCCGAGGTGCCCAAATAGTGATTTTCCAAGCGTAGCTCAGATGTGGCGCAAGACCGAAAGTATAGGGCACCCAGTGAGGATCGAACTCACTGCTCAGCCGTAATTGTTATAGTAAGAGAAGCTTGCTAAACATTACACCACGCCGAGGTGCCAAGCGTGTTTATAAATGTGTATACTCTTTATATGTTAAGTATCGCTTAAAATAAGAATTTTTAGAAACAGATTGTCTACTACCCCGACTGATCCCAGGTCTTGGGTAATGATGAACTTCTAAGCTCTGCTTAGCTACGACACAAGGCCGAAAGCATGAGACATCCAGAGAGGACTGAACTCACTATTCAGTCATCATTATTCTAGCGAGACAAGCTTGTTAACCATTACACCACACCGAGGTGCCCATGTAATAACCCGGTAGGTATTGTATTAAACAGAAAGCAAATGAAGAAGAGGAAGATAATAATAATAATAATAATAATAATAATAATAATAATAATAATAATAATTGAGTTAACTCTAAATGCAGATTCTGTAATAAATATCCAGAAACAATTGACCATCTTGTTGCATGGTGTTTGCACCCATTGAATATAAAACTCGGCATAATAGAGTGGGCTAATACCGGTACTGGAAAATATGCCACTTTTACGGGAAGGAAATTGCAAGAAACTGGTATGAACATTACCCAGACCCGGTTACAGAGACAGAAGCTGTACCAATTTTCTTGGACTTTACAATAAGACAGAACAACCAAAGCTAATTGCACAGATATCGTGATCAAATACCTCCAAAAAAAAAAAGAATGTACCTTCTTATTGACATTGCATTCCCTGCAGATTGTAATGTGTCTTTGAAGAGCTTAAAAAAACTATCAATATACAAGGATCTTGAAGTGGGAATCTAAAAAATGTGCCACATGAAGACATTAATAATTCCATTTATAGTTGGAGCTCTCGGATTGATTGGAAAAGGTTCCGATAGACTCGTTGAAGGGATTCCTGGTAATCTATACCTTAGAGAAATACAAAAAATTGTACTCAGAAGTACAACACATTATGAAGAGCTTTATCTATGTAAAATATGTGTGATCATAGTTTTTTTGTTTTGTTTAGTTTTCTTTTTACAAAAATGATCAGTGAAAAATGTCATGAAGCCATTTTTGACTTTAGGTTTCCGGAAGGAAATGTTTATACAACGGAAATCAAAAGAAAATAATACTAATCATTGTTGTTGTCGTAATGTAGCATATCTTAGTGGTCGATATTAAAATAACTAATCAAACAAATTGAATATGGACAGCCTCCCTTCTCCCTTTCTAGGGGAGAGTATTCTTTTTTTACTTTTCACGTATCAATCTGGGCTATCAAGACAATAATATTAACATTGAGGATTTGAAAACGAACCAGTTGTGTTCCTAGCTTGCTTTCTTATCTGAGCCAAACGATAAAATCTGTTAAGCTGTTGAACGTCGTGTGGCTATGATAATTACAGCAACACCAAAGACGGCAGTTCAGAGGAATTTAACATGTATACATTTAATCGTCAACACAACATTATTGAGCACAACAATTCCAATTAAAATTTAAACTGATAATTGTCAAAAAACGACATGTCCCGATCTGGGACATGATTAAACACTGGAAGTAAGAATAAGCGACAATTATAAGAAATACAATGAACGCTGTCATATATAAATAACGTATTTGCCGGCGTATAATACGCAGTTTTTTTTTATTTTAAAAACATGCAAATATTGACTCCAAAAGCGATGTTTATATAACAAGTGATTTAGCTTTCGTGGCTTGAATTCGCTAATGAAGATTTAAGATTGATTTGATTGTTTAATGGCATACCAACACCTTATGGGTCATTTAATGACGAAATTAAATCTTCTTGGGCGCTTGGAAGTAATAAAAACTATATATGTTATTCTGCTTTCACAAATGAATACATGGTAGATGATGCTCATCTTTTTTGCATATAAATGTTTTTGTGAACATAATTACTAGAGGCAGTGATATGTGTGTTTTATGTTGTAGTTTTGTTGAAGTTATATTTTGAAATACAGTTTGATTTAAGAATTTGTAGGATATTATATGTAGTAATGAAATGAAAGGGTTTTTCATGTTGGTTATTTGGTAGTATTTTAATTTGGGTGAAGTCTCTACAATTTTTTAGTATGTGCGTATTGTTAATTTTTTCTATTGAAAAGGTGTTGCTGGTATTTTTACTATAAAATGTATTTTTATGTTTTCATGAAGATTTTTTTTTTTGGGGGGGGTCCATATTTACCCACAACTAGGAGTGTAACGGGTGCTACAATCCCAGGTCAGAGTGGATTTGAGAACACCAGCAATTAAGCGGTAGTTCCACGCTACACAAAATCTCCAATCTCCCGAGCAGAGGTCTTGCTGTCGGATTTAGTTTATCGTCATACCCCGAATTAAGATCTAAGATTACATCTGTTACAAATCCGTTGATGGGCCTACACAATACAGGCGTGTTCTTCCACAGTGGTTACAAGAGAAAATCTGGCAACCAATTCCGATTTTGCAACATAGGTATTTCTCTGTAGAATGCTATTCTTGGAAAGCCTTCAAAATTGAGGTCTTATTCTTATTCTCAAAATTGGCAATTCTACGGAATTATTTTGATTTCAAATAAACATCAAATCCCTTAATACTTTTATAAACCATGTTTTATAGGCCGGAAACTACGTTATTTATAATTTATTTTTCCTGAAAAGAAAATAATAAAATATAGAATTTAATTAAACATTTTGCTTTGGTGATGAGACATGTCAATACTGGTGACACCTGCACTCAAACAAAAGAGTTGTCTTTAATCCAATGTTTTACCTGTGAAGAAAAAAAAAACAAAAAAACAAAAAACAAAACAAAAACAAAACAAAAAAAACTCATAAATTTAACAACCGTAGCAATAATAATAACGAACAAAGCACACTCATCCAGAAATCGGTGATTCGCTACAATTAAATGAGTTGAATGACTATACATGAGAATAAAAAGTTAATATCCCTCACCATACATTTGAGCACACTCGTATGGATGCACACATACGTATTAACAAACCTCATCAAACATTACATAATATATAACGATTTACTCTCTTAAATGTAGTCCCACATCCGGGTCTTTATTGAAAAGATTAGCCTAGTATAATAGAACACCAAATAGGGGAACCTACCAGGGTTTATTATTAGTGGATACAGTCCTGTTATAAGATACACAGATGACACCGTATTGATGGCTGACAGAAAGAAATCTGTAGGACGTTCTAGACAAGGTAGTAAAACAAAAAGCAAAGAAGAAAGAACTATCAATTGTAAGAACACTGTATAAGCATTTAGCAAGAGGAACAACCCAAGATGCGAGGCTTACGGCCCTATCACGTTAAAAGACCGGTTCTTGTACGATCCTCGAAGTTAAGCAACGTTGAGCCTGGTTAGTTTCTTAAATGGGTGACCACTTGGGAATACTAAAATGCTGTAGGATTGGATGTGCGAATGGTGTAATGGATAACGACTCGGAATTGTAAATCGGAGTGCCGAGTTTCAATTCCATTCGGGCCCGGTTTGATCACTTACGCGCAAATACCCTTGGAAAAGGTATTAATCTGCTTCTTCTTTTCCACCTATGGGTTAATTATTCGGACTTGTATCAGTAAATCATTATTATCTAAAAATGAAAATATTACAATCTAAGATATTTACTGGCTTTAAATAACCAGCAAAAGGTTGATAAACCGTAACCCCCCCCCAAAAAAAAACCGCATCAAACATTACATGTGTGACTATATAACGATGTTCGCTCTTAAATATAATCTCCTGGGTCTTATTGATAAGATTAATCTAGCACAACGGAAAGAGAAATAGGGGAACTTCCCAGGATTATTATTGAAGTGCACATAACATACACAGAAGACACCGTGTTGGTGGTAGACACAGAAAGAAAACTGTAGGACTTTCTAGATAAGGTAGTAAAGGGAAGCGAAAAGAAAGGACTAACTACCAACAGTGACAGTATGGTCGTTGGCAAAAGAGACAGCCCAAGATAAGTGCAACAAACTGGAGACGTCAAAATCAAGCAAATACAAAATCTTAACTAACGACGGAAAAATATGACACAGAAATCCGAAGGCGCATTCGAATAGCGAAAGATGCCTTCCAAAACTTAAACAAAGTATTAAGAAACAGGAAAATTTCGTTAGAAACAAAGACAAGAGTGCTGAGCTGTTACGTAATATCAATCCTCTTATATGGCGATGAATACAGATGAAGAAATGACTTGAGGAAACAAATATTTTTCGAAAAAGGACACTGAGGATACCATGGTTAAAGAAGGACACTTTTATTTAGAATCAGAAAGAGAAAGGTGAAATTTATAGGATACATAACCAGGAAAAAAAGAATTTGCGTTGTAGTGTAATGGATATCGGCTCGGAGAGCCGTGTTCGAATTCCAATCAAGTTCGTTGGATTCACTTGCGCACGGATACCATTGGGAAACTCATGAATCCATCTCTTGAATTGAATTGGTTGAATAGCAAGACAGAATAGGTTCTGTAGACTTGCTTGGCAACCAGTCTACCGCAGAAAGAAATGGCAACCTACTGCGGAAAAAAATCTGCCTCGTCAGTTATATATCGAAAGATACATGAACGCCCAAGTGCGTATAACGTATGGCACATAACAGACTGACTGAACCAGGAAAAAAGGCTTAGAGAATGTAGTACTTACAGAACATGTTGAAAGGACGGGATTTCTGTTGACACAGTTATTACTGTATACTACCGAGACTCCCTCGGCAATTTTTATTATAAAAATACATGAACCAAGTACAATGAAATATTTATTATTTACCATTAAATAAATCTGAAAACAAGTTTTTATTCAGAATTTTATAAAAAAAATATCGATGAACTATAGAACAAGAAAATTTAAATAAACATGATTTAGACATTTTAAATTTTCTTCTCAAATCATTTTATATCACAAATTACCTTTTGTTTTA